TTTTTGATTTCCTTCAGTGCATTTATGTAATTTAATAACACTATTTTTACTACCTTCCATACACAGATCATCAAAACGTAATTCACCAGATTTTGAATAAACCACAATCTGTAAGAAATCAAGTAGTTTTATATATATGAACAATATTTATATACTAAATGAATATACGATAATAAAGATAATAGTTTACAAATATCATCCTTTGAAATAGAATACGAGCAAAATTCGTATTTTTAAACGTCTATATAGACTGAATCAAGAACTTAGTCTTGAAGTTTTAAATCATTTTTTGGTATCTCAATTTAGTATTGATTTTATAATAATCAATTCGTGTTTGCTAATTGCTGGTCAATAATCAAATCAGCAATTAATTAAATTTTTCAATCGTAAAGAAATAGCAAAAGGATAAAATATAGGTAGCGCAATAATCATTTCACTAGTTGAGTTGTTAATGACAAAGAGTATTACTATTAAGGCATAATTATATCATGTTCTAGCCAGTCTCAAATTCATCTTAACTACAACGTTTTATTATATGAAATCTTTAAATGAATAATTTTCTTTATCTTCTCCAAGGTATCAAGATATTAATTCTACACCTTCTATCAAGAATCTGGTATAATATAAATTGAAAGGACACTATCCGTTACTGAACAGAATCTGATTATTGCATGAAAGCTTTTCGTTTACAATAATTTTTTTCCTAAAATTTATTTTATTTCATATATATATTTACTTATGTAAATGGTTTTATCTATCTATTAAAATAAAATAAACTGTCGAAAATAATTTTCATGCAATAATCAATAAATAAACTTTTGTTTATGAAACATGCAATATTCTCGTTTATTCCCACCTGATTAGCAGCACTCTTAGGTGAATACGTTCGGTTAACACATTTTTCTACATATAGTGTGCCCGCACGTTTCTTTTTATCTGGACGATAAATAGTCAAGCAAGATCTTGGCTCGACACGTATCTGAAATAGGATAAAAGAAAGAAAACATTAATATACACACCTGATTACCGCCTTGATTGTGACAAGGAAAAATGCCTGCATTTTGATTGGCTCCATTCTCACTATCGTAACCGAGTGAATCGGCACAACCATATGCTTCATTTTTTAGCTATTTATATGAGAGAGAGATAGAAAAAAGTCAATTAAGAAATTTATTTCCATTAGATAAATATACTAAAAATACTTAAAAATGTTAGAATAGAAATTTTAACTTACTGCTCCAACATGATGAAAATCAACAGGCATTGAACTTTCAGGATAAATATTTTGTAAATACCAACGAAAATCTTTACATTTAAGACGTTCACGAAGTGCAAGACGTTCAGATACATCACCAGCATCAACATTTTTTAATTCTATTTGAAAAAAATTAGTTTCTTTTCTTTTCTTTTCTTTAAAATTTATACCAGGCATAATAGAATAAACAAAATCTTTATATTTATCAAGCCATACTTCAACAAGGCGTTTATTATTGTGAAATATGACTGTTCCAGTACCACCAGGAAATGTATATGGAGTTTGTTTACGAAATACATGACCAACATGACTGCCTATAAATAATTAGTGATTAGAATGTATAGAATTTTTTTTTGAATTATTTTACATGGATGAATCATAACTTTTCCACCACATTGCCAAACACGAAATGACATTTCTAAATTTTCACCACCCCATACTTCCATACCAGGATCATAGGCACCTATTTCATAAAAATATTCACGATTTATTGTAAATAAACCACCAGCCATTGTTGGAGATCTAATTTACGAGAAGAAAATGAATTATAAAAAGAAATTTTCACCTTTTTTTTAAATGTATCATACAGAAGAGGTAATGAATGATCATAGTTTCGACGGATTTCTTCTCGATTTGGTACTGGATACCAACGAAAGTTTAATCGCCAATTAAATCCACCCTAATTATACAAAAAATGTTTTTTTTTATATTAAATAAATATATATATATCGATAAAATATACCCAAGTCATATCACTACCAGTTAAATAAGCAAAATCATCATCGTTGATTACATCAATAATTGGACAAACAACGGCCGTTCTAAATAAAAATATATCATTCTTGCATAATTAAAATAATTCTTTTTTGAAAGTAGGACATTCGTCCTACGTAAGCATATTCAAGTGCATTGGCTTATCAAACTTTTATACAGCTTTAGATGTGGGTGATAAGGTAAGGCTGAGTATCGTTTTTTATTATTCTTCACCAACCCACTCTCAAGATGTCACAAGAGTAAAATAAACAGAATTCGTTTTGATTCGAAAAAGAATCTAATAATTCCATGCCGTTAAGACCGAATGTCCCTTCCGAGAAGAAAATGAACTGTATCTTTTCGTCTGTAGTATGAGCATACAGAGGGTCCATAATCTCTATTCTTGTGATTAATTCCTTCCCATAGTTATAAAACAAAACCTCTCCGTCGTTAAGAGTTAATTAAATATTCTTACCTATCTTTTTTAACTTCATATAATAAATATTCAAGCCATCCAGGTGAACATTCAATATGAGCATCAAGAAAAGTTAACGTATCACCTGTAGCTATTTCAGCACCTTGAAAATGAAATTATTAACTAATTTGATTTGATTTTCTAGTTCTTTTCTTTTACCTTTCAATCGAGATTTCATTAGACCTAATCGATTTGTATTTCGTAGAATATGTACTTTAACTGGTAATTCTTTTACAAATTCTTCTAATGTACCTTTGAGATATTCTACAAAAGGAAATTTTAATAAATACAAAATAAAATAAAAATTCAAATAAACCTCGATCAACACTACAATCATCAACCATAATAATTTCATGAATATATTCATTTGGACTTTTTCCAACAACACTTGTTAATGTTCGTAATAACGTTGAATTTCCTTCATTATGAAATACAATTATAATTGATGTTGTTGGTAAATCTGGTGGAAATTCATGAGATTTACATCTTAATTTAAAAAAATTATAATTATAAATTTACGAAATAAATAAAAAACAAACTTTGATGATCTTTGATCATTAATAGATCGATTCAGTGCCATAAGATCAGATGCAACAATATTAAACTGATTTTCTTTAAAACGTTTTTTAGCTTCGTCTTTTAAATGACTTGGTATAACAACCGCACGTCCACCTTCACCTGGCCAACTTGATGGATTTGATTCTTTAAAAATATAAAATTTTTTTATTTTTATTTCCTTTCTTGAAAAATTAATATTAAACCTGAATCAGATCCAAACCATTTTGATATAAAACCTCCACTACTAACTTTTTTCGATTTTTCATATTTTTTCTTATTAAATACATTATTTCGTTGTGATATTGTTTGAGTTTTGTCTTGAAATTTATCCACTTGAAATTTTGGATGACGACGTACACGACTATCTTCAATAGGGTCGACATCAATAAGTACTGGTTTATCTTTTAATGATGCCGATGATGAACATGGTATAAGAACTTCTTTTGTACAATCAGAAAATAACATTATAAAAAATACATCAAGAAATATCCAAAATAATGAAGTATATATAACAACATGAAGATATTGACGTTTCCATAAACGAAAACGTTTGAATAAAATTTCAGATGATGGTGTTGATGATGAATATGAATTCATTAGTTTTCTCAAGAGAAGAAAAACAGTGTAAAAGAAAAATGATTGATTATTTTCTTGTCTTAATAAATCATTTTTAGATTTTAATATTTCAAATCTACAAAAATTATAAAATTATTTAAAGAATTTAATAAATCAATTTTCTAGTCGTACTAAAAATTTATCGAATAATTATTTATTTATTATAAATAAACATAAATCATTAGATAAGTTTTAATGTATGACTAAAAATATTGATCTCGTGCAGCCTGACTACACTACAGGTTAGAATTATATTATTTCCTATGAGTATTAATAGCTACTACTAAAAATAAAAATTCGATCTCATTTATAATTTCTTCGCTTATGCTGATTAACTACAGGAAGTGGTATATAACACAATGCAGTCGGTGTATTGTTGCATGAATGATTTAGAGATAAATATTTCGTTAATGACTTATTCAAGGTCAGTTCATAATAAATATTATTAATATTCATAGTAATACTTATTGAATAACTTAACCATGTGAATATCGTATCGTAGCTAACATGAAATTAATCTTTTGAGGATTAATAAGCAAAAGGTTGATTTGATCGATTGAAAATGTCATAATTTATTAGAGGGATATAACATACAGGAAATGATACAACTTCTACTGACCTTTAAATATTATTCTATTATGGTTTTAGAATAATATAAAGATACTTTCTTGCAAAGAAAATTAGAAATAAAGCGTCGTACCAATCTAGGATATTACGTAACTATAAAACTAGAAAATAATGTATTAACAAATTCAGGAAGAAGTTTTTTCTTGAGAGTACTTGAATAAATATTATATCGAATTAATTACGGAAGAAAAATAAATTTTCCTGTCAATCTTTATTTAGTCAATCATCATCGAAGTTAATAGATGTAAATCAAGAGGATATTTTCTTATAAAATCTACTATTGGTCACTGAACAAGACATTTCAATTAAAATAATAAAACCTGAACTAATCGGATCTAAACGAAAAACGAAAGAATGTATCGATAAAATAATATTTATTCATACTAATCTAGATTTCTTCATCTATTAGTATCAATGTATTTCACTTAATAAAAATTTATCGTATTAGCTATTCTTAATTCATAAGTGTTCAACTGATTAAATTATACTTTATCGCGTACATATATAATGATATCTAACGCAATAAAACTACTTATCTGTTATATTAAAAAGCTTTGATAAACATTGTTATCTACAACTAAATATGAGTTCAATTATAAATACTCTATTACATAATTATATTTCATTTTTAATAAAAAAAACCTAAACTGACGAACTCTGCCTTCTTGTTTTTAACTTGATATAAAAATATCATTTTTTGTCTAGATTCTAATTGATGAATTAGCTGAATTTCTATTTTTTTCGAAAGGAAGCTCATGCTATGTTATTACTCTCTCTTCTCGACATGTTAAGTAATCGAATGATAGATGAAATGCCCTGGCTTAGACAAGTAATAGAAAGGAAAGAAATCATCTAACATCTTGTCAAATCTGAGAAATGTTCATAAGTAATTAGTATGTTCTAGACAAGATTTTCCTGTGTAATTTCATAAGAAAAACAAAATCGAACTATTAACAATAGATAATACAATGCAAATCGTGTTTACGAAAAGAAGAATAGTTGAAGTGAATGAAAAACATTTTTTCGAGGTCAAATTATTCATGCTGAATAATTGTATTGTGTTTTTTTTGTCAATATATATTACGATAAATTTATATGAACTTACCATTCTTCACTAAATTGTTTTTTCGTCATTTATCTAATAAAAATCATATAAAAATCTTATCTAAAAAACATAGTGCAACTGAAAAATAAACGTTGTTTTTTTTCTTCTTGAAAATTTTAAATCAACAGCCCGACTAGAAGTGCAGGAATGTAAAAGATAGATAAATACATATGTATATATATATAAATATGGTTAGTATTAGTAGAAGTCCCCTAAATTCATAAACTTATTTAAATCTATTGCTTGAGAATGATTCCAGAGATAAATTGCTAAACCACCAACTGTTATTGTAACACCCCAAAAAACAATACGAGATAATTTATTGGATTGTTGTTTCACTAATTCTTGTTGATTGTTATTATTTTTATTTTTATCTTTCCTAAAACGTGGTGATACATATAATTGATCAGAAGAATTTTCAATATTTTCACTAAAAATATTCAGAGAAAAAATAAATATAGAAAATTATGTATAGATATATATTTACCATTTTATTTTCCATTCAAAATTTAAATTTTCCAGTGTATTTGGTGGATGAGTTTTAATTAAATATAATGCACGTTTAATAATTTCTTCCCAAGTTTTGTCATCAATTTCAGTTGGTAAATAAGATAAATATTGATGTAATGATGCCATCTCACAATCTTTCGATAAAACTTCATCCGAATAGTAATTTACAATCTAAATATTTAAAAAAAGAAGAAAATTGGATTCTTTGGTCGATAGTTTTCTTTCTTGTTCTTTACTTCAGCAGCAACATAAATCGGCATAAGAAAATGTGAGACAATAAAGAGATCATAAAGTCGAAGTATTATATCAAGATTATCTAATACATGTGAATACCATGTGATAAACCATGGTAGAGCAAATATAACATGTCCAACACCACCTCTTAATATATCAATAAAAAAATAAGAATTATAAATATTTAATTTCAAATATGTTTACCTTTCCATATATTCTGCACATTCACTGTTAATACAATCAATAAGTGGCATTAGATACAGAAGTGAGTCGCGTGTTTTTTCCATTGTTGGTTCCATGAAATATCTATAGAAGATAGAAGTTAGTGTATTGAATAGAATATGGTTTCTTAAGATAGTGTGAATTCCTTAGAGATTATCGTGCGATTCATAAGAAACTCTAGAACAGTTCACTGGTCTACTAATTTTGAGATCATAGACGAGATTGTCAGATTTAGTTTTTAAGTATTTAATAAGATTTCTCTAATCTTTTATTTTTCATACTTTAACGTATCAAGATTATTTATAATTACGATTCTAATGAATAATAAATAAGTTTATAGTACTAATCAATCTGTTTTAGCTTATTTATCATCTGGAAAAAAGGATAATTATTATTTTCTAAAATCTATAGAAAACAAAAAACAATACGTTGTATACTTGATTCATAATTTTGTAGAAGAATAATAAACTTTGGCTATGACGAATTTTATATACGAGAATCAATAAATAAAAATATTTTACCATTTTGTCTCAATAGAAAAAATAAAGAACTGATTTGATATTAATACTTAAATCAATATTGATTTGAGAATCATATATCGACTTTTATATCTTTTAATCATAACCACAACTAAATGTTTAAAATTTCTGTGAAAATAAATTTGTATATATTAGCATTTAGATCAAATCAACATATCTAACTTACATTGTAAATGTAATTAGTGAAATCTTCTATTATACTTCTTCATATAGAATTATTTTTTCGTCTCAAAATAAATGACATGACCTTATATATCAACAAATTTGTATTCTAGAGATGTTTGATTTTTGACTTAGATTTATTTTAGTTGATACAAAATTTTTATGAAGATAGCAATTAAGCAACAGCTGCTATTTCTTTGTCTTGTTATTTATATGGGAATTTGATAAGAATAAATATAAAGTGTTATTTATTTCAAAATAATAAGACGTCACTTTATCTAGGCTCATGTGTATTTACAAGTGTATAGAAAGGGTGTCTTTGATTGATAAAGAGAGACGCAATACGATGATTCATAGGTCATTAATAATAATCCTAGTATTATCGATGAAAAGAAAACGTTTGTTTTTATCTACGGAATTTAAACAATGATTAGTTTTTTTCTTCTTCTTCTCAATCAATTTAATAATAATAATAACACTTGTTTAATTATTCATCTGTTTACATACTATATAATTTATATGTTAAAACTAATTCCTCTCTCCTATGTTTGAAAATGAAAATTAGTTTTTACTTTAAATGTGACATTGTTATTGAATCTATTACTGGAAGACATAATTCATCTAATACGAGTAAAAATGTTAAACAAATATCATGATAACCCTAGAATAAAAATTAATTATATAGACAAAATAAAAACTCTATTATTTATTAATAACAAACTTGATAATAATGTAATTCTTTATGTTTAATTAAAATTTTCATTATAATAACAATAAGTTCATCTTGTAATTGACTTCTTTCTGAATCCGAATAATCTTTGAAGCAAAAGAAACAAAATTAATTTCGAAATTCTAGAAAATATATTTTGTATATACTTGGTGGAAATCGTTTTAATGTTCGTATAACATCTAATCTTGTCTGTTCATAATATTGGTCTGATTTATATTGATCTTTATCTAATTATTTATATAAATAAATAAAAAACAAAATAAATAATAAAGAAAAATGTTTAACCTTCAGAATACTGGTCAGATGAATCGTTAGGTGAATTAATTAATAAATGCCATGCTTGTTTACGACATGTATTATTAATAAATCCAGTTTTTTTTGCATAATGTATTAATTTAGTTTTAAATTCATTTGGTTTTAAATCTTTGTTATTGTAACGATCGATTAATAATTTAATTTCATCAACAGTTTTATGATTATCATTAAGAGAGATGTTTTCACTATTTATTGTTACCATTTGTATATTAAAAAAAAATGAATACGTTTTGTTATCAATCCATTAGGTAAATAAGAAGAATGTAGCTCAATCTATAACGTTTATAGTGATTGCTAGAGAAAATAAACCAATGGTAAGAAAATTTCCTTTTCTTTTTTTTTTGTTTTGTTTACGAAAAAAATAGAATATTTTATTTATCTATTTCTATTGTGTATGCCGGTCGATGATTTCCAAACATCTTATCATCGGCGGTACATGTCTTCTTCTTGGAATTATTGGAATTCATCTAACAATTTATTGGATTTTATTTTTTCTCACATTCATTCTCGGGTTTGTAAAAAATCTGTTTTTTTCTAATGACATTTTTATTATAATTGATATTTAATGATAGGTTTCTGATTCATTTAATTATTCATAAATTCGAATGGTTAAAATCAAGTCAAATACAACGAACAAATAAAACACCATTTACAAAAAGAAAATTAGTTACTCATGTAAATGAAAAATTTATCCATTAAATAAAACTTAGTTCTGTTATAAATAGATTGATACCGATGATATAAATGCACCATTAAAGTCAAATGATCGTCCATCATTAACGGGAATATCTGTTATTGATGATCAACTACATGAAGTAAATATAATAAGATATATATTTTAATATTCTTATTATTTTAATAGTCAATTGAGTTATTTATTCGTGATTACGTTGAAACTTGGTATAAAACTCAAATAAGTTCGAATGAATTATTTATTCAAGATTTTAAAAATGGAATTTATAAAACAATTCGACATTTAGCTGAAAGGTAATTTAATTCCTGTGGAATTTCCATTAAAATTACAATTGTTATTTTATTTTAGATTACGTGAAATCGATTGGTTAGATTTTTGTACAGGAACATTAGTTGATAGTTTTGCAACACACGTTCGATTATATCGAAATGCTACAGAACGTATGCGAGTTGAACAATCGACAGATATTCGTGCATGTTTTTTTGATATGGAAGCAGAATATGAAAGAGGAATATGTCGGGATGAAGTTTGTATGGATAAAGATAAAGAAAAAGGTATGATTAATTAAATAGAAAAATTTATTGAATATCTTTTTTGTATTTTCAAGAATTTCTTCGTGATATTGTCGAAGTTTTAATTTATATATTATTACCTGCTAATGAATTTCATTGTATTCCAGCTCGAATATTAATTCGAGTATGTTTTATTCAATAATTCGAATTCTATTAATTTAAAATTTGTTTGTTCTTTTTAAAGGAAGTTGTCGTTAACTTAGGTTTAGCACCTTTTATTGATATGTATACAGATCCCGATGCAATTAATCAATTAATTATTAAAATGGTAATAGCACAAAAAAATATTCGAATATCTAATTATTAATTTATTCATAGTGTCAACAAATTCCATTGACAATTGACAATTTTCTTCTTGTTACTCGAACAACAACTTCAACAACAGAATTAGCAACATTAGCTGAACGAATTGATATTGAAATAAGTCGATGGCGTTCAAAAGATACTGGTGGAGGAAATGGTTTGTTTAGGAAAAGCAAAAAAAAGATTATTTCTAATTTTGTTGAAATTTTTAGATGCAGACATTCGTGCAACATTAAATAGTTATCAATATTTACGAAAATTATTAGCTGAAAGATTAGAAAAACAAATACAAACAGCAACATTTGTATATTTTAGAATAATTTGATTATTTTAAACGTTAAATATTTTTGTTTCAATAGGATGAAGATGAACTTTTACAAAAAGTGATATATCATGATTTACCATTGACAGAAATATTAAATAATTGTAATGGTTTAGATTATTTTTTAAGTATGTATTTAATTTTAAATGAATAATGCAATACAAAATTTATTTAAACCTATAGAATTTCTTCAAACTATCGATGCTGTTGGTTATGCAAATTTTTATCTTAATGCAGAAGTAGATCGAATATTTATTAAAGAATTTAATTATTATCATCTTTTCTTCTTCTTCTTCTTATAAGGCATTTCGATGTGCTGGTTTATCAGTACAGCAACAAAAAAATGAAAATTTGACAAATGAACAACATCAAGCTAATTTAGAAATACTCAGAAATATGGCAAATGATCTTATCGAACAATATTTTCTTCCAACAGTAAGAATTTTTAAAATATCTGGATAGATTTTCAAGATCAAATATAATTATAGCAAATGTGGTTCTATAGATTTCATATAATATAATTTGTTTCTTGAATTTCATCGCCTTCATATATATATATGATAGATGAGACGAGAGAAATTTGATGTTAATAAAATTAATTGCCATATTGTATATAATGATTTTATTCCAAAAGACTGATTTGATACTTTGAATAAGTACAGATATTCAAATTTCTCGAGAATACAATCCGACTGATTATCTAATTAAAAGTTTACTTGGGAGAAAATCGTTAAAAGATTAATATATAAATATACCTTAATATTACTTTTTAGGGCGCATTTAAATTACCAATCGATGAAAATCTTGTCCAAAAAACATTAAATATATTAAGAACAGCTTCTATTGATGAAACACTACTTGATGAACTACAAACAAAAGTATATTTTTGTAATTTTCTTATAATTTTTTTTTAAAATTTTAATGTGTATTGATAGGTTTTTGAAATTCTTTCATCAGAGAAATATTATGGACAATTTAAAACAACACCACAATATTTAAAAGTTTTAAGTGAAATCGATTTTAATGATCCATTAAATGATAATTTCGGTTTGTTCCTTTTCTTTTCCAAAGTGAATAAAATAAGTTAGTTTTTGGTAATTTAGATGCTGCTTCAATATCAAGTAATAATAGCAATGAAATCTCAGGTGATTACTCTGAACCGCAACATAGTCCAGTCATTTCAACGAGTTCAGTATCAAGTATAAACAGTGCAGCAAGTGCTGTACCTGATATATTGGATAATATCCATAATTATTCCATTACAACAGAAATAAATGATTCTGGTAGAAACATAAAAATAATTTCTGTGTTTATTTAAAAATAAAATAAATATTTTTTTTTAATTTAAGGTGTATGTTGTGAAAAAGGTGAAAAATATGCAATATATGTTATATCTGTATATTGTAAACCTATACATTCCTATGGAAATCATCATGATGATCAGCGACGTGAATGGATAACTTATCGTCGTTTTAGTGAATTTAATGATCTTGATATAACAATAAGAAAACGTTATCCTGATTTACGAGACATTGCTCGTTTACCTGGTAAAAGCTTAATTAATAACACAAGTCAAGATGTACGAGTAAAACGACAAAAAGAATTGAATACTTATCTAACAGTAAGTATAATATGTTTTATTTTTAAACAGTTACACTTAACCCTTCAAAGTCGAGGAGAATTCTTTGTGACAATAACAGAAAACTAATCGGAGCATATTTTCTTGACCATATCATAGTAGATTAATGAAGTAATTTAAAATTCCCGAAATAGTTTCATTTGATAGTCTGGTAAAACATTTTGTTAAATCTTCTAGATATTAACACAACCAAAGATTCTTCAAAGTCATCCACAACTTGGTGAACTTCTATTAAAATTTTTACGAAATCAACAATGGAAAAATGAACAAACAGAATTAGGTCGCAAGGTAAAATAAAATGAATATCAATATATTTTTAATTATTATTTCTTTCGTTCACAAATATGCAAGAGAAATTATTTCACATATAAACGATTGTCTTGTTCTTTACGATGTTGAAGATAAATAAGCTTTACTATAATTCTTCCTACAAAAAAGTTCATATTATTTTCTTGTAGGATCTTCTAACATCAACGGTTTGTTTTACATGCATTTAGTTCTACTTTCTTAGAAAAGCAATAATCCCTAATTGCACAAACTCCACTGAGAAAGAGTATTTGTCTTCTCTTCTTCTTTTGTTGTTTTGCACTGAATGTGTTAATTTTTGGTTTGATCAATATAAGAATTTTTTTTCTTCGATATTTATTTAGATGGATACATTTGTTAATCCATTTAAACAAGCATCAATTGGTCTTGTTAAAGGTGTATCAGCATTTCCAGGCAATGTTGTTAAAGGTGTAACAAAAATCGGTGATGGTTTAACAATTGTATCAGATAGTGTTGTTGAAAATGCTGGAAAAATCTTTGGAACAAATTCAAATCTAAATAATAACAATCGCTATAATATTCATATTACAAAAGATATGCAATCATTTCCTATTGTTGAAGAACCTCAAGTTGAAGTACGAAAAAAACTTTTTTGTATAAAATATTGTTACATGTATATATAATAGAGTGCTAAAAATATTCCACTTCGTGTTCTACTTGTCATTATGGATGAAGTATTTGATCTAAAACAAAAAAATATGTGGTTTCGATCAAGATTTGTATCAATATTAAAACGTTTTCTACGAGCATTTATGGGTGATTCTGTTAATCGGTATATTTTAATTAAATATATTGATTCTTACAAATCATTCGTTTATTATTTAGACGTATTGCAGTGTTTGTTGAACATTGGACATCAGCACCAAAAATTGCAAAAGAAATTACTCGTCTCAAGTAATATAAAATTGAATTTTCTCTCATGAAAATAAATATTCTTTTAAATATAAATCTATTTTAGAGATGATTTTTGGCCAAATGGTGTTTTAGCTGACAAAGCACCGGAACGTGATGCAAACGTTCGTAATATCACACAAGTTCTATGCAAAGCAAAACTACTTGGTATTGTTTCAGGTAAAGAAAAAAATAAAAGTTAAAAATTCTTTAAAAAACAAAACGTTTGTTTTTTCTTCAGATGAACTTCGTCATATAATTGGTAGTGAAACAACTCGTCGTGGTTTATTACGTTTATTTGAATTATTACAAAATGAAACACTTAATCGTCGATTTGTATATATTGTTATTGAAGCACTGTTAATAAAATTATTTCGACCAAATGATCTTCATTTAATATTTGAAAAACTTTATTCTCAATCGGCACGTGTTAAAGAAGAATATAGAAAACGAATATTTGAAAAAGGACAACACCGTAATGGATCAATAAATAGTCAACATCATCATCATAATGAATCAAATTCTCGTCCCTATTACTTTAATCGTTTATCTGTGAGAACTGATGACAGTTTTATTGGTACGCAACGACCAAATAATAATCAACAACAAAAACCATTACCGAGAAGTTTATCAAGAATATGAAAATGATATTTTGTTTTTTTTTCTTTTAATTTTATTCTATTCTATTTAATCCTCCGGTGAAGATGGGTCAATATTTTTTCGATTCTCTCTCTCTCATTCTTATTTTGTGTTTTGGGCTCCGTCCGTCCATCGCAATTTATCCCTATATATATATATCATTCCAGAAATACGAACAACAACAACAATAATAAAAAAATATTGGTTTTTTATGAGTGTCTGATAAATATTCTATCTCGGTCGATCTGTTATTGAAGACACTGTATAGTATATTTTTCTTTTATTCTCTGTATTCATATCTGTTTGTATCAATCTCTAATAAAATATGACAGTGTACTTCAGTAAACAGATTTTCTCTCTTTGTTTTTTAATTTTTTTGTTTGTTTTTCCGCATCAAATATCTATGTATTCTCTATTACGCTTTGGGCAAACAGGTTATCAATGATACAATTGATTTCTATACCCTCTAACCTCTCTCTCTCTCTAAATATACATACTAGTTTTCTTTTTCTGTTGATGGAAAATACTCACATATAAATATATCAATTTATTATCTTTTACTTTCTGTTATTGTGCATTAAAAGAAAACAAATATAATATCTTTAAATTGAAATTCTATCTGTTGTTTTGCACTCTCACGGCAAAAATAATGATTTAGAAAAACAAAACCGATTTATTCTAGATTTTTATTTTTTTTTCAATAGAAATTTATCATTAATAATGTTCATATTTACTCTTAATTATTTATGCATGAATAATATTATTGTATAAAAGATTAATAGAATATGAGAGAAAAAAAACATTCAGTCATTTGATGTTTCATTATTAATTTTTCTAACACTAATGTTTTATTAGAAAAAAAACAACTTCCTATGCATTAATTAGATTTAATATGATTTAAAAAAACGTGTATTCCTAATAATTAAAGTATGCTTAAAATAAAATAAGTTTTGTTTATTTAATTTCTATGATTTAGATGTCAAATATAATTATCGATAAGACTGATGAAATTCAATCTTATGAAGATTTTCTCGAAGATTTCAAAGTAGATCCCTCAGTAACAATTTTATCTAAAAATTGTTTATCACTTCTAAATGAATATGCGCAATTAAATGGACATGTTCTATTATTTCAAGTTATTTCACAATCAGGACAAAGTCATCAACCAATGTAAGTAAGTATAAATTAAAAAAAATGTATTCATTTTTATTTGAAAATAAAAAACAAAACTATTTTTAGTTTTGCAATAGCTGTTCTTCTTGATGATCGACAATTTCCAGCTGCATCAGCAACAACTAAACGCGAAGCATCTATACAAGCAGGCTATAAAGTTTTATATCAATTATGTTTAGATGCAAGACAAACTCAAGTAATATTTTTGTTAATTTCAAAGTTAAAACATTGTAATTTACTTATCTTTTATCATAGAGATTTATTACTGATACTAATTGTACATTATTTGATCGTATTGCATCAAAAATTTTATCAACATATCGTGATTTATGCCTTAGTGTTCAATTAGAACTTATAGGTTGTAAAGTTCTTGCTGGTTTTGTTTTAGAAGAAATTGATAAACAAACCTTGACTGTTATTTGCTTAGCAACAGGTAAATAAATAAAAAAAGAAGACTTATATTAGTTTTCTCATTTGTTAGATGAATTTGACTTACTAAAGAGAAATTAACAACAGGAAAGGAGTTTTTATGTTATTTAAGCATCGTTAGTTTTATATTAATATAGTAAATCTGAATAGACAGAATTACTTCTTTATAAAGGAAATTTTTTCATTCGTTGATTCTTATATTTTATTTTCTACTATCTTCGAAAATAATTTTTTTTCAAATAAAATTATAAAAATATTCTTATTCAATAAGAATCTCTTGAAAAATATTCCATATTATTAAATATTCATAATACTCGAATTATCAAAGCATTGTATTCTACTAAACTTTTATGCTCGCACAATTCCCAATCAACATACATAGAGATGCTGCCTATAACGTCTAACATGCAATATAATAAGATTTATCGTAATTGAGTATTATCAAAAATCTTCTTATCATTCTCGACGGACTTTGTTCTCGTTTCATTTTACATGAATTATTTTAGATTGAGTATTAATACTATTCCCATGTACGCTATCATATATTCGATGTTTTTTAGGTAATAAATCTGTTGGTGGTTCAGTTTTATCATCACAAGGATTAGTTGTTCATGATAGTCATGCTGAACAATTAGCACGTCGAGGTTTTATTAGGTTTGTAACGATAAAGAAAACTGATATTTTTTTAAAAATGGATGTTTTTTGTTTTTGAAGATATTTATATCAACAAATAGATTATTTTCAAAAAAAACAAGAATCAATATTTGAAAAAACAACTGATGATAAATTTATATTAAAATCAACAATGCGTATTCATTTTTATACATCGTTTGCACCATGTGGTGATTCAGCATTATTTACTCCTCGAGATAAAATAGTTGAAGCAACAGTAAAAGATGAACATGAATTATATCGTACAGCACGTGTACAAGGTCAACTTCGATCTAAAATTGAAAATGGTTTGTTAAGATATTTTTTGAAAAAAAAACCTCATTTAATAATAAAATGAATTAAAGGTGAAGGAACAATTCCAACAGAAATAAAAAGTAGTATTTTATCTCTTGATGCAATTACAAATGGTAAACATATTCGACATATGTCATGTTCAGATAAAATCTTTCGTTGGAATGTTTTGGGTATTCAAGGTGCACTTCTTTCACACATAATACAACCTATATATCTAAATTCTATTACAATCGGTATTTACTTTATATCAAAGAGTTAGGAAATAAAACATTGTTTTTATTAAAGGTTTTCCATTCCATTATGGTCATTTATGTCGAGCATTATGCTGTCGATTACAAGATTATTTTCATTCAAATCCATTACCGGAACCTTATCGTTTAAATCATCCATTGATTGGACATACAAACTTCAAATGGAAAGAAGAAATAAATAGAAATACGAATTCCGATGATAGTCTTAATTGGAATATTGCTGATAATAATATTGAATTAATTGAACCATCAACAGGAAAACGAAAGTAAAAAGAATATTTATTTAAAAGCAAAAAAAGAAAATGATTTTCTTTTTATTTATTAGACCAAATAATGAAATATCTCGTTTATGTAAATCAGAAATATTTCAATTATATAAAAATTTAAATACAACCGATAGGAAAAGTTATTATCAAATGAAACAAACATCTAGTATATATCAACAATGTAAATATCAAATGTTTCGTGGTTTTGAACTTTATTATTCTACTGGATGGATATCAAAAGATCCTTCGCTATCAATGTTTTTATAAATAAACAAAATTTATTTGTTTTTTTTTTGGGGGGGGGGGAGAGTAGATTTTGTTATTTATTCATTTTTAATATGTAGAACCACAATATAATGTTATTAATTTATTTTCAGATAAATGTCAAATTCAAAAAATATTGCTACGTTAGGTGGAGGATGTTTTTGGTGTGTTGAAGCTGTTTTTCAACGTCTTAAAGGTAAAGAAAAATAAATATTAATATACTTAGCTATATGATTACAATTCTAGGTGTAGAAAAAGTTGTGTCTGGTTATGCTGGTGGACACAAAGAAACACCTACATATGAGGAAGTAAAGACAGGAAGTACAAATCATGCTGAAGTTGTTCAGATAACATTTGATCCGCAAACGATTGCTTATAAACAATTATTAAATGTTTTTTTTCATATTCATGATCCAACAACAAAAGATCAGTAAGTTAAATATCAAAAATAATCGAAATCTATTATTAATTAATTTTTCTATTTCTAGACAAGGTGATGAAGATGTTGGTACACAATATCGTTCTGTTATATTTTATCATGATTCAGTACAACAAAAAGAAGCTGAAATGTTTAAAGCACATTTAACTGATGAAAATGTTTATAAAGATCCAATTGTTACAGAGATTTTACCAATTGAAAATAATCCATTTTATTCAGCTGAAGATTATCATCAAAATTATTTTCATAATAATCCAAATCAAGGTTATTGTTCAAGAGTTGTTAAGAAAAAAGTTGATAAATTTATGGAGAAATTTCCTGAATTACTTAAAAATCAAGTTTAATCAAAAACAATAATGACGCATTTAACAATTATATTATGATTTATGTTGTATCGTGAACTACTTATTTATATATACTTCAAATTATAGACTAATCATGCTGATCTTTACCAAATGAAAACGTTTTTTCTTATATGTATCGACTTACAACATAAGATTTTTTTTTAAATGGTGATAGAAAAATAAATTTCGTGCAATTTCAGAGATTTGTTTTTTGATACATAAAATGTCAATGTTAATTTCTCAAGGGAATTTCAAGGCAAAATAATAGGAATATCTTTATTACTAAGATAACTAGGTTATACTGATGTACCCAATGTATTTCTGAACAATGACTTTTTGATTTTTATCAGCGGAGGGATAGTTCTTATCGTTGCCAACAAAACATTAAATTTCTCGAAATTATAAATAATCCTATGTTAGATTAATTTAACAAATTTCGATAATATATAACTTTGTTTGGAATGTATTAGTTAATAATAAAAGAAAATGATACATACATAGTTTGATGTTATGGGGAAATATGTATATCAGCAAAAGGTTTCTTTTGATTATTTTCTATTGACCTTAGATATAGAGATGCAAGCAATGACTTTGAAGATATATATTAATAATGAACACTTTATAGGAAGGAATGGAGAATCAAATAACAAAGAATATCCCGAAAAAAAATTTTTATTCCTATAAATATATCTGTAATGTATATGATTGATATTTGATATTTAAATGATTTGTTCAAGTCGTTTCAGTTAACAGATATATTGTACAATGTGATAAGGAAATACTTATTACATTTTTAGAAATTGTTTATTCTATTTAACCTCGAATTAGTTCATTATTTATCAAGGCAAAAGAACAGACCATCTTTCTTAAATCATATAAGAAGTATTGAACAAGATAGAGAGAAAGAAATAATCTTTAGATAATTTGTATTATTATATTATATTGATTGATAAAAAGAAATATTCAAGTACTTGAAAAAAACGCTATAGTAAATGTCATTATGCAACAGAACAATAATTTCTTCATAATGATAATAAGAATAACATCACGTTGTAACACAGTTGGAATTCTGTCTATCGAAGTATATGCGTTTATAGATTGATTACTTGAGTTTGTACATAGAGATACCAACCTACGCTCTCATTGATACTCCCACTTATTGGCAAGATAAAAGAAAAGACCTTGATGACATCCGGCTAACATCAGCAGGCAGCAAGAAACAGATCGAATATCTCAACATTATATTTATCATGTATTTTATTGTAAAAAAACTAATATTACATTGTAAAATAAAATAAATCCTATATATCATGCGTGTTGAATATTTTTCAATTTATTTTATATTCTAAGAAAATTTATTAGTATTCAATACCATGTATATCTCTATATGCGTATAACGAACATGTACCATCAGTGCCTTTTTTTTCTCTTCTTTTTGCCACTGTTATTGTTATTGACTCGTCATTTATCTGGCCATGAGGCGAGCATATATAACAAGCGGTTCCCTAATCATCATCGATGGGATATTACAGCAACGAAGCAAGAAAAGAGAAAGAGAAAAGGAAAATCGTCGTCTTATTTTTTGGGACTAGAAATACATTCTAGATATACATAGAATATTCTTCTTCTATTCGTTGTTGAGGTTTTTCTTTTTGTTATTCTCAATATACATAACGGAAAAGATCATAGAGAGTATTACGGCAACTTTTTTTTTTCTATATATCTTTCTGTATATGATCTTTAGAATAATCGATTTTTGTCTCTCTTTTTTTGTTAGGTTATGGTATTAAGAACTAAAAAGGAAAGAGAGAAAGAAAAAAAAAGAAAGAACTAGAATTCCCCAAAACACCACAACATCCTTCGTTCGATAACTTCGTGCTTGTGTTGCTGATATCCAACAAGAAGGAGGGAGAATAAAAAACGATATCTTCAAAATAACCATCGAATGTAAGTGAAGGTCGATTAGATATTAAAAAATAAAAATTTCTTTTCTTATTATTAGAAAATAAAAAAGAATTCTTCTTTTTAAAATATATATATCTGTATAAATTATTTTGCTACTAATATTCTCTTTATATAAAATAGATCAATATTTCTAAGTAGATGTGTAATAATACTGGAGCGGCTGTTGTCGCTCAATCAATCAATTATGTTCTATAACTTTGTGTCATTGTTATTCTTTCTTTTTTGGATTCTATTACGTATCTCTACTTAAACGATATTCTCTATATAATTTCTTTAGATATCTTTATACACAAGCTTAACAAATAAAAGATGCGTTCATCTTATGATTCACATTATTCATCTTCAGCAACAAATCGTCACTCAAATTATTCATCTCCATTACGTTCGTTGGATATTGGTTTAGCACCATTTCATGGTAGTGACCGTGCTGAATTTCGTGATCGTTATCAAAATAAAGTAGATCAAATATAAATTTCTATCTATAATTTTTTTTATTCTTGTTTAGTATGCATGGCTTGAAAAGAATCATGTTAACGAAGTTGGTTCAACTTATAATTCAATAGGTAAAAAAGTTGATCATAAACCATCAACATGGCGATGTGAGGATCAAGCTGAAACTGCAAAGTAAACTATAACTTTTTTTACTATAGAAAAAAAAGTAGTTATTTATTTTTCTTCTAGAGAACTTTTAAAAACGAATGATGAATGTGCCGATAAAATTTGGGATATTCGTGAACGAAGTGACATAAATCGTGAATTTCTTCTTAGTTCAGATGGTGTTGCGCCACGTTTTTATCAAATGGAAGCTGAAGCCGTAAGTAATTATTCTTTCAAATTCTGAATTATTTTTTGCTTATTTTTAGTTAAAAAATCGTTATGAATTAAATAATATGAAACGTAAATTAGATGGTATTAAACAATTACGTGCTCGTCTTTTCAAATAAAATAGAATTCATTTTTCTTTTTTTTTTCATATTAACAAAACTACTTTCATTTGTATCTATTCAGTACTGGTGACATGAAAACGATCGATGATCGGATATTACATGAAAATCTCATATTCTTCTTCTTCTTCTTCTTTTTCTCTTTTTTTTTCTTTGTCTAATTCCCTTTTTTTTTAACCTTTCATATACATGCGTGCTCAACAATCATAACCATAATATAACATCAATAATATTTACTTGTGTGTATTCTTTTTTTTTCTAACAAATTAATCTGGAATGAAAAAAAACAAAAGCACATATAAGTATTTAGAAGCACACATTCAAATAAATATGATAGAATAACCCGTTTCATAAATACAATATATATATATATGTATGTGTAGTTTATTGTTTTAAGGAGCTACGGGATCATTGGTAGGTGTAAGCCAAGACATGCCCTGATGACCTCTTTTTACAGAATAAATAATTAAACCAAAACCAATTGATAATGTTAAAATGAATAAAACGAGTGGAACAGCAATAGAAACACCGGTCGAAACACGATTCGGATTTGTAGTAGTCGCTGGTGGTGGTCGTGGGCGTTCTGGTACTGTACGGTGAGGAATTACTGGAAATGTACGCGTCCACCAAGCTAAAGATATAGAAAATAATGATAATAATAATAAAATAAATTAAAAATTATTTTATTTAAAAAAGAAAAATAATCTATTTATGTACGTGTTGTAGTAGAAATAGGCATTTCAGTTTCTTGTGTTGTAATTTCATTTCCATCTGTGTTTTGTTCAATTGAATAATTAACAAAAGATACAGTGATGACGAAGAGAATAAATAGAAGAGTCTTCATTGTTGTCTATTTTATTACTATGGAATGTAAGTTTTATAATAATACATAAAGAATGTCTGAAGAAATAAAAATAGAAAATTAGAATAATGAGTGTGCGGGCCTTATTTTCATCTCATACCCATACCCTTCAGACCACGAAAGTGAGATATCTTATGCTTCTCTCAGAAATGGTCTCACTTTCACGGTTTGGAAAACCCGCATTATTATTTTTAAAACTTTTTCATGGACGTGAGGAAATAAAATAGAATTATAGAGTTTATATCATTACAAGTTGATTTATTAATTTAAAGTCTTTCAGCATTCTTTTTTTTGAAGAGCTTTCTCAATGAAATGTTCAAATTAAACTTCGACATAAGTGAAATAGACTTGATTTTTAATATTTTAATAAATACATGAAAATATAAACCAACTAAATTGCATATTCATTTAGAAGTAATAGTCTGTTTTAATCTTTCCAAAACTTTATATCCTTCATGAATATCATCTTCAGTTAAAATCATAAGTTTCACCTTTTTTTTTTTTTTGTTCGTGTTATAACTCTCTCACTTATCTGCAGTAGATATTAATAAAAGAAACTGCTGATAAAAGATAACATTATTTTATATAATATCAGGTGATATTCTTTCTACCTAATTCAATAAACATTATTTTAAAAAAAAATCAAATTAAAGTCTTATTTTGACCGTTCGCATTAATTATCTTATTCTATTCGATCGAGTATATACATTCTATCGAACGATGTCGCTAGTAACCCATAAGTGCATAGATGCATAAGAACCTCTCGAGATAATGATTGTCAAAATAATTCATCATGGTCGATGATACCTAACACTTAATATGTAAAATCTGGATATTAAAATTGGATCAACTCAAATATCTTTTGTCAAATAATCATCAATCTCGAATTTTTCTTTTTTATTTCTTCGAACTTATTTCTAACTTGATATTCATATTATAATAATATTATTAAATTCAAAACAAAATTATAATCGCATTTCTTTTTTTTTGTTCTTTCAAACAAAATTTTATTTTGTCTATGTATCTATATAATTAATTATTAGTCAGAGAAAACTTACTGGTTCTTTTACACGAAAGAAATATACTCTTTTGGATTGAGAAAATAAATGGCAGCCGGTACACATATGGCTGCGACACAACAAGCAGCTGATGATCAAGCATCTTCACTCTATTTTTCTGGTATCTGTCAAACAATATCAGTTAAATGTCAACATAGAAATGAAAATGGTTTATTAACATGTTCAAGAAATCTTTATGTTTCTTGTAAGATCTATCAATTATTATTGAATTGTTTCATTTATTTTTCAAAAATTTTAGGTCCACATTGTCATTTATTACTTTGTATTGATCATATACATGAACATGAAAATTTATTACGTTATGAAATTGAACAATTAATTAATGGTGAATAAAAGAAGAAAAAAAACATGAAATTATTTTAATTCTTTTTTTTATTTTAATAGAAACAAATATAGTTAAAGCAAATATTCGTGCATTATTAACAACATCTCAACAACAACCATCATCAACAACAGCTCAAGTACTTGATGAAAAACAACGTACATTATGTGAATTATTAGAACGATGGGCAACTGTTGGCAAAATTTCAATGTCACAAGCAGCACTTATACAACATCAATGTGGTTATATTAGTCAAACAACTCAACAACAAGCTACAGTAGCATCTACAGCTGCTGTTGCTGCTGCTGCACTTGCTGCTGGAGCTACAAATCATCATCTAACAGGTACTCATCATAATCTAAATACTCAACAAAATGGTAGTGGGACAAATAAACTTCCATCACACCATCATCAACCACAACCTCAACCAGTAGTACCACAACATACACATAGTGCCCATGCAACACATCATCAAACAAATTCTCATCAACATGATCGATCATCTCAACAACTTTCATCACCTGCAAATGTTGTAAAAAAACGACGGAGTGGAAAAAATAAAATTGTTACTTTATTAATGAAAAATGCTGAAGGAGAATATGAATGTGTATGCAAATATTTTTTTTTTCTTTTTTTTTTTGATTTTATTTAATTTTAACATAATTTTAATTTCTTTTTTTTAGCCTAATGTTCAATGTCGAAAATCACTGAAATGTCAAGGAATAACAGCACATGTGAAAGCCTGTGCTGTTGATTGGCTTAAAGAAAATGGTCAATATCTTAATCTAAATTAATCCTTTAATAATAAAGAATAAAAAAGAAATCAAACTCCTTGTTCTTGTTCTTGTTCTTCTTCTTCTGTTTTTTTACATAGTGTGTTCGCTTTCTTCTCCACCAAATGTAATTGATTACTGTAGTGTTTTTTCTTCTTCTTCTTCTCTGTACATTCTGTGTGAGTCTATCGTTTAACTTGTAAACATTGTTCTTATGCGTCTTCTAGTTTGTTTCTTACAACACTGATATGTATTTCGAAAATAAAACAAAAAAAAAATACAAACGAGCATTTCAATTGTCGTACTAAATCTACTTGTGTGTGTCTGTATACTATGTGTTTGTCTATCTGTCTCTCTCTCTCTTTCTTTCTCTCTCTCTTTTCTCAACTTACAGATATATACATATGCCGAAATGAGAGAAAAAAATCCTATTCTTTTTTGTGTGTGTATACGTTGTGTAAAAGTTTTTTTTTATGCAACAGATGAGAAACGAAAAGAAAAAAACATAAATTTCTTTTTTCTAGATTCATTTTTTTTTTATAAATACAAATAACACCAACAAGAAAATAAACTCGAATATGCGAGGAGCAACAAGTTCAATGTATAATGATCATTTACATTGTGTTACAATGAAAGTATGGTTTAAAAATGGTTTAATGTTTGAAGAATCATTTCCAATAGAAAAAACAACATTTGCTGATGTTAAATATTCAGCTATTCGACAATATTTAACAAATAATCTAAGTTCATTAAATTATCGTCGATCATCATTTAGTACAATTGCAACAACTAGAAATAATTTATCGTTAGATGAAATTGAGAATTATAAATTAATATCGATTACAACAAAAAGAATCGTTGATGAAGAGAAAACTTTAGGACAACAAAAAGTTAAAGATGGAGGTTTGATAATAAGAAGAAAAAAAATGAATTAATCTCTACAAATTTTTGTCTTAGATGAATATCTCTTAGCTACAAAACGTACGACACAATCTTCTAAAGCTGAACAAGTATATTAAAAAAAACAGTTTATCTTTATGAGATAAAAAATTTTCATATTTTCATAGAATACAACATCTTATACCGTTGATGCATTATTAATTGAAAGTCGAACACAAGATCTACCAAAAGTTTTACGTTCATTCAATCGAGATTATCGTTCTGCTGCTCGAACAGAAGTATAAGAATTTTTTCGAAAATCGAAAAATTGAAATAATTAATACTCGAAATATTTAGTTTCGTACAGATCTGAATCGTATATTAATAACTCTGATAGAAACCTCACAGAAATTACTTTGGTGTCATCCAGATGCTGAAAATATCTTTAAACAAGCTGAAGGTAAATCATTTGGAATATCTAACGTATAATCTATCAAGTTTTGTATAAATAATCTTTTAAATTTTATTAGAATTTCTTCTACGATCATCCACATCACCCGAAGAATCGGCTAATCCTACAACAATCTCAACAACAAATCATGATACTGAAACACGTCGTGGTCTAATAAGTAAATTAGTAGAATTAGGCTTTACTGAACAACAAGCACGAATTGGACTTAAACGAACGAGGTTTATTTTCAAAAAATTTAATTTGTATGAATTATATTTTTATTATTCAGATATGATCTTTCTGCTGCGATGGATTTAATTCTTGCTCGACCAGATATTACCGATGATAATAATGAAAGTGATCAGGAAAATGAATCTCCTATTATCAATAAATTCGTATGTAGAAAAATAATACAAATAATTCCTTTATACATATGAATATATACATAGGAAAGTGAAAGAAAACCATTATTTTCACGTAATGGTACATTTATCTCATTTCGAAAATTTCGACAACAACGTTTTCAACCGAATATGAAAGTAAAAAAAAATCTAAATAATTTAAAAATTTTTCACATATAAATTTAGGCAATTCAATCATTAAAAGAAATTGGTTTTGCACAGGATGATATAGTAACAGCATTACGAATGTTTAATAATGATAAAAATCTCGCGGTATAGAATAAAATACAAAAAAATTCTTTTCGAAAAATTTAATATTTATTTTTTCTAGTGTGAATATCTCCTTAGTGATAAACAACAACAACAAAATATGAATGATGCTGAAACTGAACAAGGTCTTGATCCAAATTCAAGTATATTTCAATCAATTATGCAAAATTCTATTGTACAAAGAACATTAAATAATCCCAAAACATTCTTTAGTAATTTTATTTATTTTATTTTATTAATTCGTTTCTCTTTTTTTCTTCAAATATTATTAGTTATGTTACAAATAGCTGAAAATCCAACAACAATAACAAATTATTTAAGTGATCCTGAGATTGGAAATATGCTTCTACAGATAAGTCGAATATATCATGCAGAAAAAGAAAATATGAATACAACAACAATAACAACAACGACAACAACAGCAACAATAAATAATCGACATGATAGTGACCAACAAGATGAAAACTTATCGAGAACAACAGGAAGTATTAGTGGAGATTTTGATGATGATAGTGATTAATATTTTTGTATTTATTTTATTTTTTAAAATAAGATTATATATATTTAGTAGTATTTGTTTATGTATTTTCGTTCCTTCTGTTTTTTTTAATAAATAAAATTAATCTTATATTTATATTGTATATAAGAGAGATATTACAAATTTATTCATTATTGATTCAATGTCTGAACTAGGAATGCAACGATAATTAATGTGAACCGATATTTAAACAGATTTGGAGAGAAATGATTTCCTAGTGCATTATTGACTTTGTAATATTTTTTCGAAGTTAATTTCGTTGTATAAGAGACGTTTGTTGAGTGTTCGAAATATTCACTTTTTAAGATGCAAAATCCCTATCTAGAGGTTCATCAGGAGTTATATCTAGAATGTAAGCATCAGATTTGTCACGATGATAAGTAATTACATTTGGCAGACAGTTTATTCCCGCATTGATTGCTATCAAAAATTAAATAATATAACTAAGTACTGATGACTATCAACACATACCATCAAAGGCGATTTTCATCATTGTTGTATCCCTATTTTTCTGTGCGAATGAATGCAAATAATTCAGTAAATAACTAAAAAATTTAATGATAAGAAGAACTTGTTTGTTATGCTATGTAATGATTATGATAATACGTATGCAAAATTTATCCAATCATGTATCTTGTTTTTTTTAATATGTTGAATAATACCAAAAATATTAGAAAAAATAAATGCCATTCCACTTATTGTTTATCTCTCAAGTATCAGATATATAAAGAGAGCGGTTTTATACTAATTTCTTCACTCATTGTATCGAATCCATCATCTATAATACGAATATTCATCAATTTAGTAAGTAGAAGTACTAAAACTAGTTTTGTTTTTGATTTTCTTTTCGTTATAGTATAATGTCAGCTACAAGCGGTATTGAAAAACTTCAAGGTACATGGGAATATGTTGATGGTGAACGTTTCGATGATTATATGAAAGAAATTGTAAGCTATTATTGTTTAGTTATAATATAAGATAAATTAAATTTTTATAGGGTGTTGGTTTTGCTCTTCGTCAATCAGCTAAATTGGTTAAACCAAAATTAATTATTAGTCAAAATGGCGATCGATGGGGACTTAAAAGTGAATCATCACTTAAATCCGCAGCCTATGAATTTACACCTGGTACTGAATTCGATGAAACTCGTCTCGATGGTGAAAATATTAAAGTTAGTTTGATTTCTGAAAATAAAAATTCCGAATTCTTAATTTTTATGTTTAGTCAACAATTAGATTTGAGAATGATAAATGGGTTCATACAATGCGTGATAAAAATGGTAAAGAATCTACTGTTACACGTTGGGTCGATGATCAAGGACAACAACAAATCGTAAGTTTAATTTTTTTTTGTCTTTTTCCAATTTTTCCTTTTTCTTCATATAGGAAATGAAAGCTGGCAATGTAACAGCTCGTCGTTGGTATAAACGTGCTGAATAGAACTTTTCAATTCAATCACTACGCACACACAATTAATAAACAGTTCACTTTTTTCTTTTTAAGCAAAGTAGCATAAGATATTTTTCTTTTTATGTGTGTGCGTGTATTCAGTTTTTTTAAAGAAAAAAAAATATAATCAGGAATAATAAGAAAAAATCTTCTTAACATTGTGTATGTTTTCTTATAAATGAGAAAAATATTCCAATTATTTTACAAATGATTTTGGTATTTTATCAATAAATGTGGTTAGAGATAGAATACGTGATTTTATTTATCTTCATACAAATAATAAATACATGAGAAAATAATTTTTTTTGATCGAACAAAGTATTTAATGAAAAAATGGAATGTAATATGGAGTCATTCCTTATGTCCCAGCTTGTTTTTTTTCCAAATGTATCTAAAATATGAATATTTTAATTCTTTCTGCTCTATCTGTTAGTTAGATTTTCATAAAGAAATTGATCTTGATTCAATTGGAATATTGACTGACATATTTATGAATTTAGAGTACTCTCGATTCAGTACTCTAAAATTATTATTTTTGAGTGTAAATCAATAAATGTCTTGATCAGTGACAGAAGTGTTTTGTTAATCTTCACGTATTTTTCTTTATAATTGAAATGAAATTCTTCAATGATTTCTTGCAAGCTCTTCAGATGATGAAGATGATGGAATAAGAAGAGTTGTTTTGACATACAAATGAAACCACAAAAAAATGAGTTTTTTTCATTGTTAGATAAAGTGAATTGATGTTCGAATGAAAACGGTAATCTTTTTACCTTTACAAATATCTTTTAAACATGATCGAGACGTACCGATAATTTAATTAATCATTGCTCTCGTCTTAATATAAATAATAGATGAGAGACTGATAAATGATTTTTTCAAGTTACGTATATTAATAAATGTTTTGAAAATTTTTTTTCTATTATAAAATAATTTTTCTTTTCTTAGCTAACACATTGAACATGAACTATATTTTAATTATCTATAGTTTGCGTGCTAACTTCTTATATCACTAGCAATTTATAATTAATATAACTTCTATAATTAAAAAAAATTATATTTGCTACGTATTTTATCTCAATAAACATCACTGATCCATAGATAATTTAAACGAATAAAAAAAACTTGATCTCAAAAATAACCATTATCAGTATTAGATGTGTAATATGTTTAATTAGAGATTCTTGTATAATTAATGAATATATATATATAAACGCTATGAATCGAATGAATGGATATTACGTTTTTTTCTCTCTATGATTCCATCTCAATTTAATTATAGTGATAGCTCAGATGACAGCGCTCTCTACATTAGTGAAATCGAAACAGCATGCAAACAACATTCTACGATGCCATGGTAAGCTGACGGTGAATGGCATTGTCGGCAATTATTTCTTTAACGGTTCTGTTTGTTCTTCGTTATAAAATGGCAGACATGAATAAAGAACAACAATTACAAGTCAAAATTAATGAACCATCATCTTATATAGTATCTCAACCAGTACTAAATGATGATATAACTAAAACTGACCAAGTACCAGCACCATCATTTCTAGATTCTATTTTACAAGAACAACCTGTTGAAAAAGATGAGAAAAAAAAGAAGAAAAAAAAGAAAGGCAAAACAGGCCGTCAAAAGGAAATTGTAAATAATAATTTTTTTTTTTATTTATAATTAAAAAATAGTATGTTAATTAATCAAATTTTTCTTTCTTTATGTAGGAACGTTTAACAAAGGAAACAAAAGAAATTTTTGAGTCACCTGATAAATTAAATGTTGTATGTGAACGTATCCATTCATTATTATTAGGACAGAAAAAATTTTTACTCGGTGCTTGTCAATTATTGGATAAATATAATTATGGTTCTTTACCATATGAACAATTTCGATTAAGTAATATAAAAATAAAAAAAAACGTTATTTTTATTTCGAAATTATAGTTATTAGAGATCGTTTACCTAAACTATCAACGGAAGATTTTTTTATTTTGACTAAATTATTTGAAGTCGGTGGTACATCAATTGATTATCGAGCTATCTTAGATGAAGAACTTGGAAATGGTATTCTACGACATGTCACACAATTACCAGTTCCATTACCAACTGAAATTGTACTTGAAAAAAAATCATCAAAAGAATCAAAATCAATATTCAATGAACCATTACAAGTAGCCCAACCAAAGTATTTTAATAGATTTTTTTATTTTTATTAAATCTCGTATTTCTTTTTTTTTATTCTTCATTTATAGATATGTTACACTTCATCTACGTCTTATTACATTCGATGCATATAATGCTTATCCTGGTCATGTTCATATTACTGTACCTGATCATACGAGTGTTTATGCTCTATCTAAAATGGTTATTGATAAAACAGATCTTGCAACACGTTCTATTAGTATATTTCGTGAAAAAATTCGTTCACGTCATGGTCTTCTTGATCCAATGGATACACTTGAACATCATCAATTAACCGGTGCATGTATTGATGGTACACATAAGCAATTATTTCCAACTTATACACTTTATTATGATTATTCACCAATGGAACTTCGTAGTGATTGTCCAATACTTAAATGTGATTATTATATGAAATGATTATTCTTTTATTGCCTTAATTAAAATAATTTTGTTTCTTTTCAAATTTATTGCATGTCGGATATAAAATATATTAATAAATATCAAGAATTTATATTTTTAGATGAATTCAAATACATCAAGTCGATTATCATCTAATGGTTCAGGTTTACAATCATTAAATACGAAAATATCAAATACAGTTATTGATTATTCACCATGGGTGAGACAACAAAGACCATCATCATCAAAAGCAGCGGAACGAAAACCTAAACTACCCACTATTATAGAACCTCCTAATAGTAAATTTTTGTTTATATTAATTTTAATTATGAAAAGAAATGATATTTTTTTTTCTGTTTAGTTGTACATGAAGAAAATAAATGTTCGGAACTTTGTCGACATTTACGAAGAAAACCTCCTGAGCCACTTCTTATTCCTGACAATCCTGCTAAAATTCAATGGTTAACAGTACAATTACGAAGTAAGTATATGATACAAAAAAGAAAATTAATCGAAAAACAAATTTTTTCTTCAAAAGTGCATCAAACACGTATAGAAACATTTCTTCAACGTGAAGATGAATTAAAAGAAACTAATGCAAAATTACGTGAATCAATATCTAACACTGAACGTTCAAGTTATGGTACAGTTGAAGCTAATTTACATCGTTTTGATCAATATAAAGTACATTGAAAAATAATTCTTTCATATAAATAAAAATTTATTTTTTTCTTTTCTCTAGAAAACAATTTCACTTGTTGAAACAAAACAAAATGAAGAAAAACAAGAATTACTTAATGCACTTATACATGAACGACAACAACTTGCAAATGAAGTCGAAAGTAAATAAATCATTTTATATTTATGTATGGTTTTTTATTCTTTCAAAGAATTTTCTTAGTGTATGAAAATCAAGTTGTATCTCTTGATAATCAGATAAGCGATTGTCAACAATTACTTAAACAACTGAAAACATATAAAGTAGAAAAATTTTGAAATAATTAAAATTGATTCAATTTTATTTATTAGGATATTGAATATCCTGAAAAAGAACGAATTCTTCAAAAATTATTACAAGATATTGAAGAGACAAATCTTTTTAATTCAGTCTGTAAAATTTTGGAATTAAAATCGAATATTTTTTTTGTTTATTGTAGGAAGAAGTCGATGAAATAACTCGTATTCTTAAAAAACAAGAACAGAAATATTTAGAAGATCTTCGTTTAACTGTAGCAAGACTACGTGAAGAACAAGCAACAGTAATATAAATGAAAAAACAAAAAAATATTTTTCTTGGAAAATATAATTTTTTATCTTATTTAGTCAGCTTTTTCTAATGTGCATAAATCTTATTTTCTTGTGTCACTTGATAATGATCGAATGCGAGAAGTAAATATTAAATTATATATAAACTAATTATTATATTATTTGATGAATTGTTTTAGGAAATTGCTATTCAAGAAGAAAAAATTCGTCTAATGGAAATTGAAAATGAACATATAAGAAAACTAAATACACAATTAAAACATCAACAAACTAAAGCATTCGATTCTCGTACTTTATTTCCACATGTTTTCCGACAAACGACAATGCCCATGTATGTTTGCTTTAGTCATAGATTATATCTTAAACAATCATTTATATTCTTATATAAGAGGAATTATGATTAAAAGAAGAATATGTGAAATAGAAATCTTATTGCTGGATTAAACCAAGTAAAATAGTATTATTTTGCTATAGAGAAAGCTTTGATTTTTCTTAATTATTTAAAATAAAAAAAAAACTCAGATTCTATTCTCTTGATACTCTTTGCCGAAGAAAAGCTGATTATGATAGAATCGATTGAACTGAATTGTAATTCTAAAAATATCTAAGATAATCATATTAATTATTCTTTAGTATAATTTGTTCATTTTATTTAATTCTAGTTGTACACCTGATATGGATATTGTACTTGATATTCCTGAACGACAACCCCCATTACCTGTATAATATTAATATCATCTGGTCAATTGATTTACATACCGGTGAATTTATAGAAAAAAAACCATCATAATACATTTTTTTTATAATGAGCAAAAGAAAAGAAATCCTCTTATGTACATGTAAAATTATTTGCTATAATAATAATAATAATAATAATAACACACATATTGATCATGAGTATAGAGAAGATGAACAACATACAAATGAAATTGATTTGGTTGACATTCATCTCGGCTCTTCTTTTCTTTTATATCAGATCTTTATCAATGTGTTCATCCATTTCCGTTCTTCAATATACTTGCATCCTTAAATTTATTCGATTGTCTAGTGCACTCATACTTCGCGCTATCTGTCATTTGTCTACGTGCTAGAAACAATATTATTCGTCACAGTCAATGATAAAACTACAGCAAAAGGGCAAAGAAAAAAAAGCAAAAAAAAAAAGGTGATGGTGATCAACATAATAATATATAAGAGGAAAAAGCGAGAGATACATAGAAAAAAAGAAAGAATAAGGAAAAAAAATACTGTCATTGGATTTTCTCTCTAGAAGAAAGAGAGCAAGAAAGAGTTTCAGTTCTCTCTCTCTCCCTCTCTCTCTATACTTCCATGCAATGATCGGCTGCCGGTTAAACGATTTTGAGTAAGTTGAACGTTCACTGATCAATTGACGTTTCACTGCAAACATATTTATGTTTACCTATTGACGACGACAATAATAATAACAACAAAATTATCACCGAAAAACGATCAAATTAAACTAAAAACAAATTATTTTCAAATATGTCTCGATACAGTCGATCGAGTAGTTCAAGACCTTTCTGTAAGTATATTTCTATTTTTATTAATCTAAGATAATTAATGAAACAAATTTACAATGACAAGTAATAATAAACCTAAAGCGAAATATGATCTATACCAACTCGATTAATAGATTATTCATTTTCTTGTTATTTCAAGTGTATCATCGTTAAGCATGATAAATCTTGTATAGAACTATTCATATGATTGTTCACAGAGGACTATAAAACCAAAAAAAAGAAGAAATATCTATCACTTGTTTGTTTGTTTTGCTTCATTTCATCTGACATAATCAGTAAAGCGCAGACTTATATGCATCCGATTATCGTCTTAGACACATGACAAAACTAACATTTTGTTATTCGAATATACTGATGTTAAACATACATATATATGTATGAGATTGAAATGTCTGTATTATACGACGACAAATTGGTTTTTCTTCTTCTTTCTTTTTATTTTATATATATGTGCCTGTCAAAACACAATAATAGTTCCGGTCTTTTTAAAAACCTATATAGTAAAATAATGACTTCCGCTATGAATACCTATCTATATATATATATGTATATAGGCTCGTATCCGTTTTATGGATTTACTTTGACACCTTTCATATTGAAGAATGAATGATCTGTCAAATGCCTGGTAACAAATTTTTTTTTCTTTCTCTTTACTTTTTTACATATTTCAAACAGAATTTTTCTTTATATATGATTTTTCCGTCGTTTTGTTCGCGTGCGATATTGTATAGAAAAGATCGTTTGCTGATCGATCAGTCTTAATAATTTTATGTGCTCCGACATCAATAGAAGAAAAAAAAACGATAATAAAACTACAAAGTACTAATGAATCAATATATATATATATATATATATTTATATTTATATAGATATATATCCGTTTGTTATACGTTGTGAAAACATTGACAATAGGTTTTTTTTTATGTTTCTTTTGTTATTATATAAATGAAAGAATAGAGATCGTTGGCATATAAATGTCGATTCAACCTAACAAATGCAAACGCTATAATCATCATCATCATCATTCATGTTTTCTTGAATACTTGTCTACCTTCCGACACATCACCATATCGAATAATTAGATGAAAGAAAAATTTCTTTTTTGTGTGTGTAAAATACACGCATAATACAAAAAAAGAGGGAGAGAGAGCGAGTGAGAGAGGAAGAACCGACAAACGTAATTATTCATATCATGCGCCAACATGTATTGCATTAGTAGTGAAACACATCTGTCTTTTCTGTATTAGAACAGGCACGCATATGTAACGGAAATTAGTCAAGAAACATGTCTTTATTTATTGTTAAAATTCAAATCATTCAAGAAAAAGAATATAAGCTTTAGTGCAAAGATCTTTTATTGATTATATATATATATATTTCACACTCTATTATAATAATTATTTGACATTTATTTGATCAGTACAAAGTGTAATAACAACAATTCTCTAACCTTGTCAAAAAAAGAACCATATCGATGATTAAAACGCTTCTGTCATATCATGTTATGCCAACGAGAATTTAACCAGATGTACATCAATATATGACGAACACAAACAGTAACATACACTTAGGGAATAGAAAATAAGATTAAATTTTTTTCCCCTCCTAATGTCATTTCTTTCTTTTTTTACTCTTATTTCATCATCATCATCATAGATCGAGTCAAAATAATTAATGGAATACAACCTTCATTAACATCAGAAAATACAACTTCTACTACTACTCCAACAACAACAACAACAACATCTTCTTCTTCTTCTACTACTGCTATTAATAATACTGAACTAGATGAAATTGAAAATCCTCGTTTACTTAATATACTTAATTGGTCACCGTTAGAAAATTTAGTTACAAATAAAACAACACTAGCAATCAACGATGAAAATGAAACAAAATCTAAAAATGGTTATAATGCCGTACAAATATCAATTGAACTACAAAAGAAAATGTTAAAGTAACCTATTAAAATACAAATAGAATTATTCCTATATAAATATATAAAATTTCTGTTTTTTTTCTTTTCTAATATTAGTTTAAAAGCTATGTTTATTGATCCATCCGGTCGTTTAGTTAACTATGGTCGTTTGCGTGCAAGTAATGTCTATAATGATATATGTGAAATGGGTAATCGTTTAACAACAATAAGCCTTGAAAATGTCACAGAAAATGAACGTAAAACATTTTTTATCAGTAATTATTATTTCCAAAAAAAAAAGATTGAATTAATTTTATTCAAAAGAAAAAATTTAATAAATTATTTATTTATTTAAGATCTTTATAATATATTAACAATACATGGTATAACATCTGTTAATGAATTACCTAAATCTGTTTTGGATTTAAATCAATTTTGGAAAATAACATCATATAAAGTTGGATCTTATTTTTACTCATTAGATGATATTGAACATGGTATTCTACGAGGTAAAGAGATTTTCGGCTTTCCTTTCCATTAATTATTTTTACTTTTAGGTAATAAACCTCATTCAAATTGTACGCAACGACATTTTACATTTAATGATCCTCGTACACGATATTCAATGCGTCGTTGTGATCCACGCATTCATTTTGCACTTAATTGTGGTGCACGTTCATGTCCACAAATAGCAATATATTCATCAACAAATCTTGAAAAAGCATTAAATATGGCAACAACATCTTATTGTAATGCCGAAGTCGATATTATCCTTGAAAATGCTGAAGTTCGTTTATCAAAATTATTTCTTTGGTATAAAAATGATTTTGGTCGATCTGAAACGGAAGTATTAAGGTTAATATATATATTAATTTTGTTTTTCTATTAATTTTCCATTTAATCTTATATATATATAGATGGATAGCTAAATACATTGACGAGCCTAAACAATCATTACTTAAAACATTACTTGATCGACAAGGTTCAAAAGATGGTTTACGTATATCATATAAAATCTATGATTGGATGGTAAATCATCATGATGCTCCAATGCCTATTATAGATTCAACAACAACATCATCTAATGTAGATGATTAAAACATCATTATACATATATTTTGTTTGAATTTAAACTGATAAAGAAAAACCCCAAAGATGATCTCTATTTTTTTAATAATAATAATAATACTATACATATATGTATGATTGCAATACTTAGTAAATAAAATTGATTACAAGGTGAGGGACAATAGAGAATTTTTATTTTGATCAGACTAAAAGACACAACATCAAACAATAACAACAGTAATAATAATAATAATGATTGATAATTTGATATGTATTTTTGAATCCATTAATTTTCAAGTGTTTTCTTATGTGGAAGGTGAATTGATATGTTTTTTGTTTTAATATTAATTTAGTCACAAAGTGATAGATTGATATGTATGTTTGCGATCATAATTAATCTGACTACTGACGAAAATAAAACAGAACAAAAAGAAGAAAGAGAAAGAAACTAATAACACAAGAAAAGCAAAAGCACCTCCACATTTCTTTTTCGTTTTTTCTATGTGATAAATAAAATATAGTTAAATTATTGATATGTATAGATATACATGAAAGAAAAACAAAAAAGTAAGAACAACATTCACCGGAAGGGTTAACACTATATTAATACATACGTGTATTTCTTTTGTATTTGTTAATGATTAGATGAAATTGCATAAGTATTTAATGTATCTTGACTAGGTAAATATGAACTATTTATCATCATTGTTGGTTCAGTAAGTTGAGATTGTGGTACTGATGGTTTAACAATACGATATTGTTGATGTAATTCATCAGTTGTTGTACTTTCTTTTAATGGTAAAACTTCATTTGGTATATCAACAAGACAATGAAGAACATCTAATTGTGGTGCTAAAACACGTTTTTCAAATAATAACTTTGCTATTAATGATACAATTAATGTTGTTGATAAACTTATAAGCATACATAAAGTTTTTGGTGGAATATGTGGACCAAAAGAAATCACTTTCGGAATATTTAATGATGGTTCTCCAATAAGTATACGAATAACAAAACCGATAATATATGCAGATAATGAACCATATGTATTTGTATGTGGAACATAAACAACACAAAGTAATTGTGGAAAAAGTATGACATAAACAAGATCAGAACATAAATACCAAAGAACATAAATTGATGAAACCATAATACCAATTCCAGCAGCCCCAGCTCCAACAAGAAATATTCCAATACGCATTACTAATAAAACTTCTCGTTCGGATGCCTATTGAAATAAATATATTTATCAGGATTATTGAATATTATCTCATTAAAAGTTAAAAAACAATCAGTCTGTTATGATTTCAATAGAAAAAGACATTCAATCTCAATAATTTTTTTATCTACAGATTTTCCAAAAAGTTCGAGGAAAAATTCAAAATAGATATAGAGATTATAATTTCATTAATTTCTATAAATTAATTTAGAAGTTTTCAATAAAAATGCATTTACAAACGAAAAGAACCACTAAAATTGAGAAAGGATATTAAATAAGATATCTTTATGGGTACAAATCAAATGATCAGTAAAAAATTTGAACTGTCAGTAGAATAATTAATGGTCAGTGACTTTTGGATCTGATCAGTAATTTAATCATTTTATCAGTATTTGAACTAAAATATCAGTAGTTAAATATGTTTGATCAGTGAATTATCACATTTATATCAGTTTTCACCGTTCTGTAAATATATTTACTGATCGCAATTACTGACATTCTACATTATTTACTGCTCAAAAAATACTGATTATTCGGAATAAAAAACTGATTATTTTAATAGAACCCTTTCTCTATCAATAAAAGTGTAACATAATTTGAAGATCAAATAATTTAGGAAGAAAAATGTTTTCTAATTATAAATTTGAATAATAACATACTTGATTACGAAAAACAAGTTTCCAAACATTTCGAGCAAACATAGAACTTGCACTAAGTACACTCGAATCGGCACTAGACATGACAGCAGCTGAAACGGCACCTAAACCAATAAATGCAACAAATTTTGGACATAAATGTAACAGAACTAATGGTAAAATTAATTTTGTTGCTTCAGGTGATTTTATATCTTTATTGATATCATAATCGGTCATAGTCCAGTCTAAAATAGAATTCAAATATAAATGATTGATTTAATATATATATATATAAATACTAGTTGATTTAGCAATAGCTCCAATAAGTACAGGTGGCATAGCCAAAACAATACAACCAACAGCAGCACAAAATGAAAGATACATTGCTTTTTTTGCTGATTTAGCCGAGAGAACACGTTGAAAATAAACCTAGAAAAAAATAATACAATTTAATTGATTTCATCGTTTAGAACTGAAGTATTATTAAAATTTCCGTTTGCTCTTTCTTTCGATTCTCTTATATCTATAACTTCGAGTTATATATTTTAAAGAATTTGAAAAGAAAATCGATTTTCAATTAATTATAATATAATATATATGGAAATAAAAAAATTATTCATACAATTCTGTTGATTTATGTCCAGACATATCTATTTAATACGTCTACACTTTTTTTTAAACTAACCTGCCATGGTATTCCACCAAAAATAAGTAAAAGCATACCATCTAACCAATCAACATATTGAGATTTATCAATATGACCACGCCATTCTGGCCAAGTAGTTACAATACTACCAACACCTTCATGTCTCAATGCGAATGGTACAGCAACCCAAAGACCAATAAATATAAATCCAAGTTGAACAACATCAGTGTAAGCAACTGAATATAATCCACCAAAAAGAGTATAGAAAATAACAACCGCAGCTAGAATAAATAGATATTGTCAATTAGATAAGATTTGTTTTAAAATAATTCAATAAAAATGCTAAAAGTTATTATTTATTCTCTTATGATTAATACAAACAAATCGTTTATTTTATTTTTCAATGACAATATCAATCTATCTAAATTCTTACCCGAAATAATTATCGATGCCGTCATTGAAACATCAGTAAAAATAACACTAATCGTTGCTCCTAATGCTGATAAAATAGCTGCTGACCAAAAAACTTCTCCTAAGAGTGCTGGTATAAATAATAATCCACCCATTCTTTGACCATATTTACGTTGAAATGGATCAAGCATTGTAACATATCCAGCATTACGCATTGGTCGTGCAAATAATAATCCACCAACAACTAAACTAATTGCATATCCTAATGGTGCTTGACAAGAAAGAAGACCAGTAGAAAAAACTTGTTCAGCTGTTCCATTAATATATGCACCACCAACCCATGTTGCTGTCATTGTAAATATTCCCACGAGTAAACCAATATTTCTCCCAGCTAACATTATTTCTTCCGTATCGGGTGATTTTTCAGATGATTTCTGTTTTCGTCCTGCCCATATACCAACAATTAATATAAGAATATAAAAAAATACAACGGCCACAAGGCCACCAACATGAACAACCATTATAATTTATAATAAGATGTTATTTATACTAAATAATAGAAATAAAAAAAATATAATAATAATAATAATAATCATTTAGAAATTATTTTCAACAGAAAATATATCATTTAAATTTGTATTATAAATAATGTTGATTCATTGAATATAGAAACTATAGGTTGTTATTGTTTTTTATCCTTTAATTTTTTTTTCTTCTTTTGTCTATAAAGATATTTTCTTTCTTTCTATACAGATGAGTAAATATTGTATTCTAACCGGAAGTTCTTCTTGGCAATAGGAAGTTAATTGAAGAAACGATAGGCGGATGGGTGAAGAGGCAAAATTGTGAAGTAGTATGTAAAGATGATGTTATTCATAAGACTAGTTAGGAGGAAAAAGAAAATAGAAGAAAAAGAAAAATTGTATCTTAAAATAAATTATTCTTATTATTTTATTTTTTTCTTCAGGTATCTATTACAATTAATATAATCCCTTCTTAGATTAATCTCATTGATATTTTTATTTTTTAAACGAAGAAGATTAATAAATATATATATATATATATGTGCATGCTATTATTTTTGTTTACTATTATCAAAATATCAAACATCAAATATAGAAATTTTCTTATCAAATTAATTTTTTCGACTATTCAATCAATGAAATTTTTATATGTTAACAAGAGAAACATTTTACTCTGTCTTTTTCTTCCTTTCTTTCCCTCTCTCTCTCTCTCTCTTTTGCTTTTATTTTCTAATTCACAATTAACTTACGGACGAATTGGTTGTATATGTTTATATTCCACGGGTGATGTTTGTTCCCGTCTATTCGTTCTCTTTATCTCGATGCTGCTTGTTGCACAATGAACTTCATGTCATTTTCTTTGTGACTCGAGTTTTCTTTTTCTGCATTTCTATATATCTATATATATATATATAGTTTTTTTTTCTTTCTTTATCGTTTTTTTTCTATCGGAATACGTTAGCACTCGGTTGTCTTAGAGAGTTTTCTATCTAGAGT